TTCTTGAAGCTGTTTGAATAAAGATGATACCTTTGCTTAATGTATGTGGTCTACTATTGACTTTCAACTAGAAGAACCTGATATGAGAAATTCTACATTTTACTCTTTGTAGAAATGATATGAATGTTATTGGCATTATTATTTCTTATAGTACCGGCAGGCCTACACTGGAAACAACCCATCCCAGGTTCAGAAAGCCATGGATGGTTTTGAGGACGTCATTAGGAGGTTTCCAAAGTGTGCTGAGGGCTATGCTCTGTATGCACAGGTATTGCTCACCTTGATTGCATGAAACCATTTCTAAAATGATGCTTTATCATTGTTCTATCACCTCTTTATCGTTCTTTACTTAACTATGATGTATTGTCTACTTTTTTTTTTTTTTGGTGATAGGCACTAACAGACCAGCAACAGTTTGGTAAGGCAGATGAAATGTATGACAAATGTATTGAACTAGAGCCAGACAATGCCACAACATATGTCCACAAAGGGTTAGTTTTGTTTCTTGTACTTAAAGAATCTTGTTAATCCATTCAATTTCAATTAAGAAAATACTAATCAGTTGTGTTTCTTCTGCAGTCTGTTGCAGCTTCAGTGGAAACAGGATCTGGAAATGGGCCTTGAACTCATTAGCAAAGCCATTGAAATTGACAATAAATGTGACTTTGCTTATGAAACCATGGGAACCATTGAAGTCCAAAGGTTTGTGATGTTACATTGCTTCCCATTTTTTCTATTCCTAATTTGTAAGTCACAAGTCACTCATTATATTGAAACTTTTATGTGGCTATTACAACCTTATGATTTTAGCTTCTGACAAAACTAAACTTTTTCGACAGAGGCAATCTGGACATGGCTATAGACATGTTCAACAAGGCCATCAACTTGGCCAAGTCAGAGATGGAGATGGCCCATCTCTACTCCCTCTGTGATGCTGCTTATGCCCAGACAGAGGTGGCCAAGAAGTATGGGCTCAAGCCTCCCACGCTATAACTCTTGCCTCCTTTTGCCACTCTCCTCTACTGCCGGGCCACAGTACACATCCCATAACCCCTTTTTTTTAATTTTTTTTTTTACTTCATTATAAAGATGATCATTATCAATGAAAAGGAAGGCATGACAGGTTCTGCTACCACATGTTTACACCATGTTTTATTTGAGTACTGGAAGGTGGCACAGAAAATGGTGGAGGAGCAGCAAAAAAGAAACAAGATAATGCAAAAAGCAAGTGGAAAAAGACTGATGGCTGCTTTGTTTGATGTCAAATCATCAGTGGCATAGCTCACATCCTCCCTCATTGAGTATGGCTTAGGCTATCTTGCAACTTGCAACAGTACTCATTTGTTCATGTTCAGCCTCCCCTGCAAATTGTGACAAATGTGTCTTTTTGATTATATAATCTTAATTTAATGGTAAACTATGGACATCGGGGTCCTTAATCACCAATAAAACGTTACTTTTTTTTCTCTTTTCATCCAAGACACCAGATTGAGTAAGTTTATACCAGTGTATACCATCAGCAGGACTGCATTATTGATTCATGGTTTGATGCTGTAATGTGTACAAGTTTTGTCCTTTCACTGTCACATCCTAGCAACCTTATTTACGGTCTTTGTTGTATGGGAAGTGAAGGATTACATTTTTAGTTGATGTATGTGTGTTATAAATCTGTTCTTGATGTGTCACTGCTGTGATGACTGTGCTTATAAGAAGGGGATTATATTGAGGTTAAATGCGAAATTTGGCCATACAGTTATTCATTTTTGTGTTTATTTTTACCTTGAGTTTCGGGATCTTTTTTTTTAACATTGTGCTGCATTTAATAATACATGTCAATACAAATGATAATTAAAATAGTATTAAACTAATTTAAAGTCCTTTTAGCCCTGTACAAGAATTTTGCTGTGAAATCACCTTGCCCATCTCTTTAAACTGAGGCACTAAAGTGTTAAATGTTAAAAACGTAGCTGTGAGAAACATGTTTAATATTTGTGCAAGAATATGAATGAATCTAGAAAAAAAATATGAATCGCCAAAATTACATTCCTCTCATTTTATCTTCCGAACTGCACATATCTGATTTTATTTTGTTTAGTTTCTCAGAAATAAAAATGTAATTGAGGTGTATTTTTGAACAATGGCTCTCTTCTTTATAAATCTTAATGCAAGAAAATAAAAGAAACACCTTACATTTAGCAACTAAGTTCTTCCTCACTTGTCTTTTGTTCAAATTTTGCATTCATTTGTAGTCTTGCGATATTAAGGTACTTTTAAAGTCGAAGTGGCATGCCCTTAAATACATACTGTATATTTGTGTATATGGAGGACAGTTCTAGTGTGCATGTATGCATGTTTGTGTATATATATATATATATATATTAGTGCTATAAGTCCCTGTTTTCATTTAATTTAAGAATGGTATTGTTCTTGTTCATATTTAATAAAACAGTAAGATTTTTTTTCTTGACTACTGCAGCCATGACTTCTTCACTATCTACATTCATATATCCATCTTTTTAAAGGAAATTGATTACCGGTATATATTGTTTACCTGCTTTAAGTTTGTTTTGTGACGTCAACAAAAACAAAGTGGCATTACTGTCTTTTAAATATGGATTGAGATATTTTCTCTGATATTGTAGCTCTATTTTTAAACCATTGTTTACCGAATGTGTAACATGGTACAGGACTTGGCCTTTAACCTGATCAGAACAAATAGTTTACAAAAAATATGATGTGATCATTTCCCTGTATGCATGTATACATTGATTATTAAGCATTGTCTAATATGTAAATGTTTACATATGTTTCCTTATTTCGGTTTCCAGTCTGATCAATTATTAGTAATGGATTTACAGACCAATTTTGAGGGAACAATTAATTCAAGACTGCTGCATGTTTGAAGATCATAACTGATTGTTTAAAATACACTTTACAATGCAAGCTAAGTGGCACCACCTAAAGGTTAAAAATAAATTAGTTGTGCTTGATCTGTTGAAAGTAGCTGTGGAAAAAAAAATGCCTCAAGTAAAAATAAATAAATGCAATGAGAGGGGAAAATGTGATGTTGGTAAAGTTTACCTGTGTAATATTAATGTATGATAATATCAAATAAAGAAATGAGTTGCCCATACAATTAGTCATAAAGCCAGTTTGGTTTTGTGTTATGATGCAGATTACTTTAATTTGTAATTACTTTTATTTAATGTTTATTAAATGTGCTTTTTGGTTAAATGCATGACCACCACCACATGCCAAGGGACAGCAGATGAAAACGGTCTATTTTGGCTTAAACTGGCACATTTATAAATCCAATATTAATGTGCATTGTTCTTAATAAATAAATAAAAATAGTTTTACATTTAATAATTGTATTATATTAAAATTATACATCTTTGTTGAAGCCATTTCTGAATAATTCTGAAAGTAAAATGACAATGACGAAGCACTGACTAATACTTCTGTGCTCCATTGGTATGCGCTCTTTAGAGTTTTTTCCCCCCAAATGTAGAAATGGCACAAGTGCACTGTATTGTCTTAGCAGGCACAAGTGCTTCCCGTAAGATTCTGTAAGGATGGCATGCCTCCTCACTTTTTGCCAGGGTATTTGCAGGCAACCCTTGACATCAAAAGCATAAAAAACTAATTTAACAAATGTGGTCTTTAAAACAGGTGTTACTCTTTTGTCTTGCCAACATCCATCTTTCCACAGTTCTTTGCATGAAAATGTAGACCTTGTGAAGAGCATCGTCATGAAAGCCAATAATAATATAAAAAAGTAGGCCTACTATGGCAAGCCGTTTTAGCTTATAATAATCCCAGTGTTACTCATCGTAATTGCATTTTTACTAGTAACAATTCAATTAGAGAGCTCTACAATTAAATTATTACTAGTAGCAATGCCAGTTAGAGAGCTCTATAATTCAGTTCTTACTAGTAACAATTATGATTAGAGAGCTCTCTTAATTCAATTATTACTAGTAAGAATGTAATTGCAGAGATCTCTAATTCAATTAGAGAGCTCTCTAATTCAATTCTTACTAGTAACAATACCAATTAGAGAGCTCTCTAATTCAGTTCTAACTAGTAAGAATGCAATTGCAGAGCTCTCTAATTAAATTAGAGAGCTCTCTTATTGTATTTATAACTAGTTAAAATAGATTTAGAGAGCTCTCTAACTGGCATTGTTACTAGTAAGAATTGAATTGTAGAGCTCTCTAATGGAATTGTTACTAGTAAAAATGCAATTACGAGTAACGCTGGGAATATTTTAAGATAAAACGGCTTGCCATAGACCTACATCTTAAAAAAGGCAAAAGTACCTACAGAGCCAGGTTGATAGTAACTTGAAGTCTTGCCTTCTCCTCATGGCTAAAATGTATTTGTGGACTTTAGACAGATGTTCTTCAGACAACAGGCATTTTTAATTGATATTTTTGGATGGGTGGATGAATGGATGAAATAAATAAATAAATATTTACGAATCCTTTCAAAAACCCTTCAAAGGTTGATGTGTGATGGAGCAGCTGATGATGCAGGAAATGGGCAAAAGATTAGCAATTTTGTCTGTTCGCCCCTTTTAATAAAACCAAGTACACAACACACACACACACAATAAGTTACTTTAGGCTAATTAAAAACTCTAGATTCAAGTCTTCTATTTTATTTATTCAATAACACATTACAAATTACATACATCATACAACATGGGATGCATCATTAGAGAAAAATATGCCTATTTAATATTAATCCCAAATCAAATTCAACAGCAAGTGGACTAGGCTACATGCACAACAAAAAATAGTTTTTGATTGATTTATTTTGGAGGCAGGCAACAAGTGTCATGTCATACTATGTCGAAACCGAGCGGGTTTAGAACGCTCATTTTTTATTTATTAAGCTAAAATCTCGCTCTTGTAGAATACACAGTTCCACTGATTATCGCGTTCTATATCGCGTCTAGACTTGCGCTAGTAAGCGCGTGCGTGTGTGGTCGTAGAGACAAGACGCTGGTATTTACGACACCGGTTGACGTGGACCGTCCGTCACCACCGCAATGGCGGATGCTGTAGGGGAAGTGCTTGAAGGCAGCTGGTAAGAAAACACAGCTGATACATAAGACATACATACATACAGAACGGTACACGGTTCGCAGACTGATATTGTTATTGGAATTTGAAGTCCGTTAAAGAAAGACTATTAATGTTGTAGCTTTTTTTTGAGTGGCAGGTAGACGGCGATGCTGTGCTGAACAGCTAGTCTGACTAGCCAAAGCAGCCAGTGTATTGTTTGGAGACTCCAGCTGTTTGACATTGTCATTTTATTCATATTGTGATCTGTATAATACGCATTTTAAGCGATAAAACGTCTTAGTAGTTTTAGTAGAAGTTGGCTGTTAAAACAGCTTTTGCTAGACGTTCGCGTAGCTTTGCACACAGTAGAGTTGTGATGATTATGATACAATCTTAGCTTTCATTACCACTTCACTATGGCCAAGATTTTCCCCACTAATGTAGTAACGTGTAGTTCGTGTTTACGCTTCTCGGCCTTTGTTAAAAGTGTGAATTCTTCTGTTTAGCTGTGCAAGACATCTTTACTAGTTATGGTGGTTTTCTGAAACTCTGTGATCACGTAACTGTTCAGACTGAAACAGCATTACTGACTTTTTTGAGTTGTTCTCGAAATAATGACAGGAATCATAGTTTTAATTATCTACAGAAATATCAAAATTGAATGGTGGATTACTTTACTGTGATATTTGTTATTGTATATAACGAAATATATATTTTAATACACTTTGTAGTGATTCCTTCGAGGACTGTTCCAGTTATGTCTTGAACAGGAAAGTTGAATCAAGTATTGTCATCAGAGACTCCTCCTAGGTTACACATTTTTGAGGAATGAATGAGTATGTTTTCTTTTGGCAGCCCAACTAAGCTGACAACTTATTGACGTAATATTTTTTCCTGGTGCTTTATTGCTTAGGCATGTTTTGGCTTAGAAATAAGGTCAGCAGAACTATTCAGAAAAGTATTTTGAATCTTGACGTCTTGAATCTACACAGCCATGTTTTTTACCTGCAAAGCACTCTTTTTCCTCATAATCTACTAATACAATTATAGATTTTTAAACGGTTTGGCAAAAATAGTTTTAATATTAGATTTTAAGTTTAGTGGTTCTTCTACAATGTCAATGAATATCGGTGCACACATAGAAATCACAAAGACGCACCTCTTTTTGTGAGCATTTGTGTCCTCTTCCTCTTCTGCTGAATATGGACCTTCCTGTTTTCACAGACAATGACCACAAAGACAAATGATCCCGTAGGAGAGATAAGTGGACCAAAGTGTGAGGGTGACGTATATTTCAGTCTGTAATATCAAAGTCCATTACCTCAGATAGCGCTTTACATGTTCTTTAGCTCCTGATTCCTATGTCATTATTAAGGCATTTAGCCAAAATATCTGGATGTGGCAACTTGCATTTTTCTCACCCCAGTTTGGAATGCTTGGTATGGCTGGTTGTTCGACAGCTTTGATCTTATTTCCTAAGAGTATGTCAGGAACTTAGAATGACAGTGAAACCCATCATCTAATCATCAATAATCAGCTTAATTTGTGTTTCTTGATGTATTTAACTAATTCCATTGATGTAAATAAATGTCACCATGGTGATGCTGTCAGGGTGGATCACAGATTATTAGAAATTGCGAAAATGTGTTGGAATAATCAGTTGAATGGGTAGAAAAATATACAAAAAAAAGAATTACTAAATAAATAAATAAAAGAAAGAAAAACAGTTTGTCTTTATACACATTAAATGTTTGGTGTTTTGTAATTGTTAATTATTGCTCTGAAAAAAAGTTTATTTTGTAATTTGTCATGTGTGTTTTAGCAGCAGCTGTTGTGTCCATGAAAGAATCAGAGCATTTGTGATGTGTTTGAATGAGTGATGCACGTTGTTTGATTCCAGAACAGTTGTTTTCTGCAGTAGTGTGTGTGTGTGTGTCAGATTTTTTTTTTCATGGCGGTATAGCAGATGGTAAAGAGGCCTCAGAGGATTTCTTTCTGTTTTACCTCAGCTAAAAATGCAATTTAGTGCAAGTCGAGTGCTTTTTTTCTCTCTTTAAAATCCTCATGCCAAGTTCTTAGCTTGTTTTGCTAGTGTCTAGACCGTTTGAGTTTGTAGTATCTTTGAGAGAAACCCTGGAGGAGAGTGGAGTGCTGAAGAGCAGTGCAGAATGCATGAGCATTTGATCAAGCTGCACCCCCTTTGACTGAATATTGCACTTGAATTCTTAATAATGCGTGTTCATTGCACAGCCATGTCACCTGGTGTGCACAAACACACCTTATTTGTTGTGGCAATATGAATTTCTGTATAGCTGCTCGGCATATTGCTCATAAATGATTCATGTCACCGTCTGTTCACACTGGATGCTTTTTGCTATCTGCCTAAGCTATTTTTTAAATTGTTTATGCACAAAGTCAGACAGATAGTTCTTATTCTTATTTAATAATACCCCCCCCCCCACCATCTCTGACAACCAGTTGCAGTACAAACAGTGGTCATTCACCTGAAAAATACACATTTTGCATGTGGTGATAACGACAGTTCAAATAGATTGCTGCTTTTAATCGAATATGTTGCGCTGATTTTTTTCTTTTGCGCTGAGTTCTTTATTTACTAAATTTCTCCAACATCGACTAAGGGATTAAGATATGATCTGCACTTACCCAAATTTCTTTCCCTCTTAATTCTGGTACTGGTTAATTAGAACATGTTGCAGTATTCGTAATACACACTTTATATTAACAGAATTTGTCATTTTAATGTACACTACCGTTAAAATGTTTGAGGTCAGAGAAGAAATTAATAATTTTATTTAGTAAGGGTGCATTAAATTGACATTTATAATGTGACAATATAAATGAAAAATAAATGCTGTCTTTGTGAACTCTTTATTCATCAAAAATCCTGAAAACTGTTTTGCGGTTTCCTCAAAAATATTAAGCAGCACAGCTGTTTTCAATATTGATAATAATAGAAATAGTAATGTTGCTTGAGTCTCAAATCGGCATATTAGAGTGATATTGTGACAATGCAGAATTAAAAAATGGCTACTGAAAATTCAGCTTTGCCAAGACGGAAATAAATTAAATTTAGCTTTATAAAAAAAAAAAAGAAAAAAAGAAAGAAATATTCACAATATTACTGTTTTTATATAGGGCTGAACGATTTTGGAAAAGAATCTAATTGCGATATTTTTTTTTTTTGACCAAGATTGCGATTTTAATATGCAATTATTTTTTAAAGCTCTTTATGTTCTGTATTCAACAAAGACGAGCTATAAATCATTGTATAGTATGGCCAACACAATATTAGATAGATTAAACATAAATGTTCTTTTCTGTAGGCCAGGCCTATATGTTACGATGAAATTAGGTGATGCGTGAATTGATATGAATGACATTTTTATTTAACAACTACAATCACAATATATTGACTGATTTGTTGAACTTCCAACCTTGTTAGCATGTAATAATTATGACAACATAAAGCACTGACAAATAAGCCTGGTGTAAACATTAATATGAAAGTCAATAACAAAGCACACACACTAAAGTAGATTGCAGAAATATAAAAACAAATCTGATGCTTTACCACACTACTTTAGCTAATTCAAAGGATTATGCGATTGCAATTAATCGTTCAACCCTATTTTTATAGTATTTTGATTAAATACACACAGCCTTGGTGATAATGAGGTTTTTTCCAGTGTAGAATAATGTAGAAATTTACTAAAAAAAATGTTTTGTTAGTGTTTCGTAGTTCTGTGTAGGTAAAGCAAACCATTTGCATTTACACTTGCATAAGGTTAGAATCTGTCCTTGACTTCTAAATGTAGTTTGAGTGATTTGAGCACAGTGTCGTGTGTATTTATTGTGTGTGTGTTTTCTGAAGGACTCGTGATCTGGCTGACGCACTTGACTCAGCAGAATGTGATCTGGACAGTAACCAGGATGGTGTTATCCAGGTCCAAAACCTACCCCCACAACAGCGGGCCAAGTTATGGATGGTAGGTATAGTGTGTGTGTGTTTGTGTGTGTTTGTGTGTGTTTGTGTGTGTTTGTGTGTGTTTGTGTGTGTTTGTGTGTGTTTGTGTGTGTTTGTGTGTGTTTGTGTGTGTTTGTGTGTGTTTGTGTGTGTTTGTGTGTGTTTGTGTGTGTTTGTGTGTGTTTGTGTGTGTTTGTGTGTGTTTGTGTGTGTTTGTGTGTGTTTGTGTGTGTTTGTGTGTGTTTGTGTGTGTTTGTGTGTGTTTGTGTGTGTTTGTGTGTGTTTGTGTGTGTTTGTGTGTGTTTGTGTGTGTGTGTGTGTGTGTGTGTGTGTGTGTGTGTGTGTGTTTGTTTGTTTGTTTGTGTGTTTGTGTGTTTGTGTGTGTTTGAAGATAAAATGGCTTTACTAATCAGCCTGTGTAGCATCATGTGAAAATATAGAATTTCTGGATTATGAAAAAGCTTTGAAAAGATTGTACATGCTGCGTGTTGATGAGAGAGACAGAAAAAACATTCATGCTTATGACAGAGTACATAAGAGATCCATGCAGAGCTTGTTTTAAAGGGTTTGCTTTAGGGTCAACGGGTCCCGAAGGGCTTTAGGGAGCCTCTGTATCGATTAGATGGCCATTAAGGAAAGTGTAGTAGATAAAATGGCTTTACTAATCAGCCTGTGTAGCATCATGTGAAAATATAGAATTTCTGGATTATGAAAAAGCTTTGAAAAGATTGTACATGCTGCGTGTTGATGAGAGAGACAGAAAAAGCATTCATGCTTATGACAGAGTACATAAGAGATCCATGCAGAGCTTTGTTTTAAAGGGTTTGCTTTAGGGTCAACGGGTCCCGAAGGGCTTTAGGGAGCCTCTGTATCGATTAGATGGCCATTAAGGAAAGTGTAGTAGGCTTAAAGTGTAGGACCCTTTAAACGTACACATCATGGAGATGGCATTAGCTTACAGTATATCTCACAGTGTACTTTAGGAGGAACTGCAGTTGCTTTCATTGTGTTCCCTTTCCCATACTTTTTCCCCCCTAATTTTTTCCTAAGTTTTAGTTTCTGGCTCTGACGTTGAACGTGTCTGTGTTAACAGATTGCTTTGAACGTGTCTGGTAAAGGAGATAGTCTGTCCTCATGGGATGGGGCTTTGGACCTACCAGAACAGACGCTCATTCACAGCCGCAGTCAGCAGATCATTGGTGAATAACCTTTGCACACCTCACCTCATTTTCATTGTGCCATTTATGTGTAGTAATGCACTACACATTTATAGCATATATGTTCTATGAATGTGGAGTCAGACACTCTACATTATAAGCCCACTGGTTATTCAAACCATCGTGTGACATTGTGCATTCCACACACATTTATCTGTTGGCAAGACTTTCCGTTTGTTTGTGTACTTATGCAGTTTTAAAACACATTTACTGCAGGTATGAGTTTAATTATAAAACATGTCTTGAAACTAAACTAGCAAATTATTTTTGGATCAGGAGTACCTTCCTTATCTGTTAAGACATATTATTTTGATGTAATGCATTTAGGCATTTTGTATAAAGAAGCTTCTTTGGAGAATTTTAGTGATGTGTTTAAAGTCTGCATGAAATTTTAACTGTTATGTAAGGCATGGTACAGATACTATTATGAATTATTCATGTATATTTCTTTGGCCTCATAAAATATCATAAGTCAGTCTTCCAGGGAAAGCTACAGATCTCTGGTGACATGCTGGATTTCTCCAGTCATGTAAACTACTTATAGTAGATCACCCCTTCACAATCGACTACAAACTCTCATTCATTTTTGTGTGCAATGCCCACATCTCAAAATCCAATCAGTTTTTCCCCCTGCTTTTTTATGATCTGTTACATTCAAATATATGTCACAATACAGAATGAAAGATCTGCCGATCATTGCGACTTACTTTATATTTTGGATTTTCTGGATAAATTATTTAGTTAGTCATTTAATTAGTTTGTTTTTCCACCTCGGCCTTTCTGTAAAAATAGATGACATGGCAAGAACAGGGCATCAGGCAAAATGCTGCTACTTGTACAAAAGCCGTAGCATACAGTGTTGTGTCATCAGCTTTATAAAAACTCAAAGAGCTCAAATGCAAACTGCCAGCTTTCATTTTCATTTACACTTAAAGAAATAAATAATGCTTTTGACAATTTTTTAATGGATGTACACTGAAATTAAGCCTCATACGAGTATTTAAGAAAAAATGGTTCTATTACATGATCAGTCATGTCTTACAAGTTAATAAACCAACAGCACTATCTTGGAAGGATGCTCCCCGAGTCATGATAAATCCCACACATTCCACGCAAGTTCTGTGTGCAAACCCATTATCTTAAACGATATACTAGGGAAAAATATGAAATAATGGGATTTTTTTTTTGCATCTAGATGAGCTAGGGTTACCAGTGGAGGAAGGGCGGGACCTGGTATCAGATGTGGAGTCAGTGATCACCTTTTACTGCAAGTCCAGAAATGTCACCTTTACTCCAGATCTTAGTTGGCCACACATCCTCAAACCACTCCTGGGTTTACAGCTGTCCCGCAAAGACCTCTACAACTGCTTCTACGCCATCATGAATAAATACATCCCACGGTAGGGGTGTTCATACGTCTGTGTGTTTTTCTCTACTTTAAAAAACAAACAAATTATAAAACCCCCAAATTACCTCAAAACCAATTTTGAAAAAACCCCCAAAACTAGTTTTTTTCCCCAAACTTGGTTTTGAGGTCATTTGATCAAAAGTAAAAAAAAATAGATTAATTAATAAATAATAATAATAATTATAATGAAATGTTGCAGATAATGTAGCAAATATGAATCCTTGAAATGATTTAAACAAAGAAAGTTTCAGTTTGGTTAAATGCTGCTGAATGCCACTTCTTCAGAAGTTTTCTGTGGCCAAAAAGGTCAATTGAGACAATGTTAGGTTGGCAGAGGGTGAACATGCAGGCTTTATATATCAGTTTTCTTGATATAGGGTCATATTATTTACCTTTTGCAGAGACTGTGTTGCGAAGGGAAGACCATTTCACCTCTTCAGACTCCTGCTGCAGTACCATGAGCCTGAATTATGCTCATTCCTGGACACAAAAAAGATCACTCCTGATTTCTACGCCATCAACTGGGTCAGTCGATCTCTGGCCTGTTTGAATATTTTATAAAGTATTTGGCTTAGTACAGGGGTGTCCAATCCTGCTCCAACTTGCCACAACACATCTTCCTAGAAGTTATTAAGACCTTGAATAGCTGGTTCAGGTGTGTTTGATTGAGGGTTGAAGCTTTTATTCTGCTGGACAGTGGCCCTCCAGGAGCAGGATTGGAAACCCCTGGCTTAGTATATAAATTATACTTAACTTATACACACTATGGATCAATTCTGAAAAAGTGTTATGGTCATTTTCCTAAAATGAATCAAATAAGGCCGTTTACACTAGCGTTACAACAGTGTTTTAAAATGAAAACGATCCTCGTCTGCACTGGCGTTTTTACTGCGTTTCAGAATGGGGAATCTACCTATACATATCTATGGGTACAACAATGAGCATGATGTTATCGTTTACACGGTTGTCAAGGATATGCAGAGAGAATGTGGGCAGCCACGCCATCATTTTCAAAAGTCTCCGTTTGGTCCGTTTACACTGAAAAGCAACCCTGGAGTTTTCAAACTGAAACGGGGTCTGCAGAGTTTTCAAAAGTCTCAGTTTTCGAGGGTTGAAAATGCCGGAGTAGTGTAAACGACAGGCGTAACCGTAGCAAAAGTTATGCGTTTTAAAATGAAAACGATCCTCGTCTGCACTGGCGTTTTTACTGCGTTTCAGAATGGGGAATCTACCTATACATATCTATGGGTACAACAATGAGCATGATGTTATCGTTTACACGGTTGTCAAGGATATGCAGAGAGAATGTGGGCAGCCACGCCATCATTTTCAAAAGTCTCCGTTTGGTCCGTTTACACTGAAAAGCAACCCTGGAGTTTTCAAACTGAAACGGGGTCTGCAGAGTTTTCAAAAGTCTCAGTTTTCGAGGGTTGAAAATGCCGGAGTAGTGTAAACGACAGGCGTAACCGTAGCAAAAGTTATGCGTTTTAAAATGAAAACGCGCTAGTGTAAACGTAGCCTAAATTACTTGCAGCTGTATGCTAAAGAATCTTTAAAAAAAAAAAATGTTTTATTGTCTCCTGCAGCTGGGCAGTCTCTTTTCTAGCAGCTGTCTCCCTGAGGTGTCACAGGTCTTATGGGATGTTTATCTCCAACAGACTGACCCTTTTCTCATCTTCTTCCTCATGCTCATCATCCTTGTCAATGCCAAGTATGTGACAGTTCAGACTGTTCAGTGAACTTAACTGATTAATGAACTGCACCAAAGCAGTTTTACTTTCTTGTTTATGAGATCAAGCAAAAACATGTTTTTCTTTGTTTTCTAATGTCCAGAGATGGCATCTTTATCCATGAAGGACAAAGCAAAGAGGAAATTATCAGTAAATTCTTTCATGCATTATTTATATAAAACAAATACATTACAAAAATCTGTTGCATTGTCCTGTATGACCAAAGTGAACAGCTGTAATTCTTTTTTTCCTTTTTCCCAGGTAAGCTGATGCATTCACCAGAATTCCTAGATGTAGAGGACCTTGAAGACTTGTTTTCTTTAGCACAGTATTACAACAGCAAGACGCCTCTATCACTTAGAAAGGTAAGCATTATGTCTGTGCTTTTTGGGCTGCATATTACCAACTTCCTCTCAATATGATGCACATCACAATAACAGTTTAGCAGGTATCACATGCTCAATTATCTGGTTTATGTGTGTGCAGGAGAACCATAATTTGTTTGGCAGCAGTCTGGTGGCTCTGAAGGAAGAAGACATGGACCTGAGTCAGGCTCTCTGTTTGCCTGTATCAGTCCCTGAGATCCTGCAAGCCAACCAGCTACAACCTGTGAGTTCCCACTCTCCAAGATAACGGTCCAAGACATCTCCACATCATCTTTCATATTTATTAATGTTGATGATCAGGGCTCAAAATTAAAGGGGTAGTTCACCTAGAATTGTTTTTCATTTACTCGCCCTCATAATCTTTGTAAACCAATAAGACTTTGTTCATGTTCAGTACAAGTGGAGATATTCTTAATGTTATCTCGCTATTTGTCAAAAAGCATTGTAAAAGTAATCCATACAAGTCAAATGGTTTAATACAAGGAGACAACAATGTTTTTTTTTTTTTTAGCACATTTACAATATTTTAAGTCAAGCACACACTTTTGAGCTTCTGGCCACCATATTTTATGTGCTCAATGTATGTAAATTGCAAATAAAATTAATAAATAAATAAATAAAAACCGTACAATTTACACTATCCGACCTTGAAAAACAAATCTTTTATGACAAACATATTTCTATTTTATGACACCCATGCACAAGGAGCGCATGGTGAAGAGTTTCACCATGTGATGCCCTATTTCCAGTGATGTTATTCCTATTTAAATGTATGTTTTTGTGATTTGCATTCTGTTTAGGAGGGCGTGAGGTTTTTTGTAGTCGACTGCCGTCCTGCTGAGCAGTACAATTCTGGTCACCTCTCCACTGCCTTTCACCTGGACTCTGACCTGGTAAGAATTTTTGCAAGCATTTGTTCATAATTGTTCTAATAGAGATTGATTTCCTTTGGATCCACTTTGTTTCCTCAAAAATACAATTTTTAATATGTGTAGCTGCCTCACAGAGTACACAGCTCTATGCACCTCTGTGTCCTTGACCCGTAAAACTGTAATGATATGGTATTGATTCACAGATGCTTCATAATCCCTCTGAGTTTGCCCTGTCAGTGAAGTCTCTTCTGGAGGCACAGAAGCAGTCTCTGGAATCAGGCTCTGTGGCAAGCGGAGAGCATCTGTGCTTCATGGGCAGTGGACGTGAAGAAGAGGACATGTACATGAACATGGTGCTTGCCCACTTTCTACAGGTCAGACCTGCATCTGCTGCTACACATTGAATTGTGCGGATTATTATTGAAAGCATTTCACAACTGTTAAGAATGTAAGTGGTAAATCAAAATTTTTTTTGGTCTAGAAAAATAAAGAGTTTGTGAGCATAGCAAAAGGTGGATTTATGGGTAAGTTCTGTTTTCAGTTGCAAAATTAATAACACTTGATCACCTAAGCATTATACTGTCTGACCAAATTTGAGACAAAATGCAATCAAATATAAATAATGAAATAAATGTAATGTATTCCGATACAAAAATAATGTGATCAACAGGGTTTACACAGTGACAGCAGCAGTTAAATTGTGCTGATGAAACTGAGACTAATTTATTTTTCTTTAATGCTCAGCATTGCAGCAACACCTGGCAGATATTAATGTTGAAGGGCCGGATAATGTTTATGTTCACTGGATTGTGAGCACCTCAGGATCCCACAGCAGCCTCAGCTCAGCTGACGTGAGTCCTTAGTGTGTGTGTGTGTGTGTGTGATGCACTTTACATGTATTAAGAGTACTACTCCGCATGTAGCCTTCAAACCATGCTTTTGTGGCCCATGTTCTCATCAATTTTCTCAATCCATTTTTAACAGCTGTTCTGTGTGTTTTAAAGCCTTAAAGTCTTAGTCCGTCCTTCCACAATATAAAGGTTTTAAATCGGAGCAGAAAATCTTAAATTCATAAGTTATTTTGCATGCATTGCAACAAAAGGAATATCTTTCTCAGTATTTTTGCTTTCCAATGCAAATATCTAAACATCCTAAAATCAAGATAAATTTACTTGAGATGTAAATGTAAAATTAAAAAACTGAAATTATTTCAGTTTATGCTTAAAACAAAAACAAATGTCTTTCAATCGGGTTTATGAAAACTGTACTTTTCTGTAAAATGAATTAAAAGGTAAAGGAAATCGGGTGAGGTGTTGCTAATTCAACTCGCTGTCTTCACTAAACATTTACATTTAGAGAACATATTGATGCATTGTGTTCCCTTCAATTGATTCCTTACATTTTCTTTACCTAAAAAGGTCTTAAAAAGTTGTGAACGTCTTAAATTTACCTTTATAAAACACTGTTTTAAATGTATTTTTGGTACCTCTCGGAAGCTTTATCCACCTTATTTTTAATGTGAGAGCAGTGCCATTTTTATCTTGAATGTGGAAGGTGTCCTTTGTCGTTTGCTTACCAGTATTGCTAATATTAAACACATTGGTTTGAAGCTCATTGGATTGTTGTACTTTATTCTTCTAGTTCTTTACCTATAGTTGATAATGAAGTCTTGGCACATTCACAGGAAATATCTTATTTCCGCATTTGAAAAATAAGGTGGATACATGTAGCATATTTCTTACATTTTCTGGGTGGCGTGTAGTGCCATCTTGTGGACATTGTAAGTTAAGCAAGCCATTAAATGCTTCAACTTCCATTGAGATAAGCAAATACCTCTTTAGTTTTGGATTAATTAACTTCCAGTGTTAATTCAGCCCATCTCTTATATTGATACAGGGGGAACTGAACAGCACAGATGGAAAAGGAGTTAAATCGCTTGTCAACAAAATGACCTTTGCACTCAAATCAAAGTCAGTTAATGTAAAAGAGAAGGTGATCAGCTTCATTGAAAACACTTCCACGCCGGTGGACAGGTGAGCATCTTTAATTGTCTTTGCACAGGACAGACATTCTTTCACATTTTTTCTTTCCAGATATGTCTTCCATTAATTAAAAAAGAACATTTGAGGGCTGTTTAATGTTCAGGGACCAGTTGCAAAACCTTTTTTGCCTCTAGACTGTCTCCGACACACATTTTTATATATATTAAAAAAAAAATATATATATATATATAAAATGCAGAGGAATTTATTAAAAATTATTAATTCGCTGACGTCTTTCTGTTTTAATCATCCTCCCGACCTATGCCCTGTTATTTCACACTAGAATGTCTTTCAGTCTACCCTGGCCAGACAAGGGAATACTGGATCGGTAAGACTTCATTAATGTTTGTCTGTGCCCCACCAGCGTTCATCCAGTTTTTGTAACATGCCCTCTCAAGGTGGCGCTGTCAGCTTTAGCTCATTGTAGGGGTTTTTAAAACCCCTATTAAATGGCACACTCATGTATGCTCTAACACCATATGCATCTGCATCACCTGCATCTATAGTACAGATATCCTTGTCATTCTTTTGAATTTCCTGTTTCCTGCTAAAATTCTTTCGAGAATGCTGTCAGAGTAGAGTATCATTGTAGAAATGTCTACTTTGTCATCCACTACCAGACATTCACACGCACGTGTAGTAGAATTCACAAACACCACTCGGAATGGTGGAAGCTGTGAACCACACAGGTCTTGTCACTTTCTGACAGCGCTGGCTGTTTTGAAACATTTGCCACTTTGTGCCTTTCTTTGTTTTACACCAGCAGTTTCTGTCTCCGCAGTCTGAAGTCTGATCTCTGCTGTCTGGGTCCTCTTATATGTTCTTAACTTGTGTGGAGAGAGACCACATCCTTCATTGGTTTTATACAGATTTGATCACAGCTGTGGAAGACTGGGACAGTTGTGATTAAGTGTTAAAGTAAAATGGACTCAAAATATTCACTTTTGTGAAGTGCCTGGCCTTCCACACTGTGATTCTCATCTCTGGTAAAATGCAAACTTGTTAACTTGCCTTTCTTCCAACTAACAGTACTCACCTTTCTAATCCTAGAGGGCACCTCATCTCACTGCCATGCTCTTAGAATGCCTGTATTAAGACAAGGAAAACAGTGTTGGTGTGAAGGACATACCTTTATTCTTCTAGTGGGTCTTGTAAGTGCATATGGTGCTTTTTTCTTATATCCTTCAGGCACATAAGCAGCAGTGATCGGGTGGGGAAGCCATACAGGGGTGTGAAGCCTGTCTTCAGCATTGGTGATGAGGAAGAGTATGATACAGGTAAATACACCGATTTAACCAGCCTGGAGATCTCAACTTGCAGTTTCCTGCAGAGTTGGCTTATACACACTTGTACCAGTGGTGTTATCGTTATATATATATATATATATATATATATGTATGTATATGTATATATATATTTATTTATTTATTTTTTGGTCATTGAAATTAAGCTGTAATAAAATATGAAAAACTTAAACTTGCGAATCTTAAATGAATAAATAGAAATGTTGCTGTGGCAAATAACAGAAATAAGCTTAAGTTGAAGTAGTAAACTAAAACTACGTTAAAGCTAAGCAGAAATATAAAAGACAAAAGACGATTAAAAAACAAACAAAAATAAAATCATATTTAAAAATATGAATGAATACTACTATATAATAAATGCTAAAATAACACTGATCTGAACCAGTTAATCAAGGTCTTCGGGGTTTAGGTGCAGAGGCAAGTTTGAGTATCCTTGTCTGATATAATTAAGATAATATATTCAAAACACTTCTGTTTTATTTATTCACTTCTGTTTACATTTAATTTTAGAATTTTGTTATTAATTTTTTTTATTAAATTTTTTTTTATGTGGTCATTAAGTTTTGGTGTGAACTTTTGGTCACAATTGTTGTTCAAAAGCCTTTTTTTCTTTTTTTGGAACAAAAGTAGAAATTAAAAGAAAAAAGGTGACCATTTTCACCTTAAAAAAAAAAAAAGAATCCCATATACTAGATTCATATAACTAGATATTTAGAAATTCAGCATTGGTACACTTCATCATCTCATCTGTGTCTCTGTGTTTTTATTTAATGCTTTTCTTATTTCCTTCCCTCTTTTCAGATGAGATTGACAGCTCATCAATATCAGATGATGACAGGAAAGAGATTGTCAATATTCAGACTTGGATCAACAAACCAGATGTGAAGCACCATATTCCATGCAATGAAGTTAAGGAGACTGGACACATGTTCCCAAGGTGAAGCTACCTGTCTGAACATACAACCATGGAATTAGCCCTCTAAGAATTCCACTAAAAAAAAATAAAAATAATAATAATTAAAATTAATAAAAAAAATTAACATAAGTTATAATTTATGTTAGCCAATGTAGTCAGTAAAATAATACTGTTGCATGTGAAAAACGGTAATGTTATGATACTTCCGCCCGTCAGATGGGCCATCCCAGCTGGTGGATGGTGGGTTGAGTATCCACCTTTTTCTTCAACGTGGGAAGTAAGCCTATGGGAAAGACTTCCGGTTCATTAGCCGCTATAGGGAAATAACAAGAATAACAACGTGCAGTAAACGGTAAAACTGTTTGCACTTTTAGCGTAATTAAGATAATACATTAAAATAATATGGTAAGACACACCAATTTTCAATATCAAGCAGCAAAACAAAGTGGTTTGTACAGTTAAAAATAGCTGGAAGCTAGACCCATAGAATTTACAGATGATGTAAATGTTTTCCCATTTTTACGGGAAGAAAAAGATGGATAGTGGTGGGTAATTCTATTGTTTTATCTTCCACAGCCATCTACTGATCACTGCAACACACATGTACTGTTTGAGAGAGATTGCTGCCCGAAAAGGTTTTGCTTACATCCAATCCAGGCAGGCCCTAAACTCTGTGGTGAAGATCACCTCCAAGAAGAAGCATCCAGAACTTATCACTTTTAAGTTTGGCAACAACAATGCTGCAGGAGTGGAGATAGTGGCTGTGGAGAGGTATGGTAACTGACATCGGGACACCATTGTATTTTTTTATTTTAACTTAATTTCACATGATCTCCTAGTCTCTGTATAAAATAACCAGTGTTATTTTAGTATCAAATTAAATTGGCTCTTGATTTATGCGTTTCAGTTGTCATTTTAATTCGTTTTTCCAAGGTTCTCATTAGCAAGCATTAGTCAATGCATTAACCATAATTAACTATGAGTAATACATTAGTTACCATATTAAGTCATTTGTTATTATTAGTTAATAAAAATAGAACTGTTAATTGTTCATGTTAGCTCAGGTCCATTAAATTCTTTTAACACAGCAATTGTAAATATACCCTTTCCTTTTATTTATTCATATTTTTTTGTTTGTTTTTGTTGTTGTTTAGAAATGGTTAAATTAATAAATGCTCTAGAAATATTTTCATTGTTTGTTTTGACTAATGTTGAAAACTATGGAATGGAATGCTAAACCATTTTGGGGGAAGTCGTGGCCTAATGGTTAGAGAGTCAGACTCGTAACCCAAAGGTTGCGGGTTCGAGTCTCGTACAGGCAGGGATTGTAGGTGGGGGGAGTGAATGTACAGCGCTCACGACTGAGGTGCCCTTGAGCAAGGCACCGAACCCCCAACTGCCCCCCGGGCGCCGCAGCAAAAAATGGCTGCCCACTGCTCCGGGTGTGTGTTCACGGTGTGTGTGTGTGCACTTTGGATGGGATAAATGCAGAGCACTAATTCCTAGTATGGGTCACCATACTTGGCCACATGTCACGTCACTTTCACTTTAAAAAAAAACTTTCACTAATGTAAACCGTTACATTTCTATGGCAAATTGTATCACAAAAATTCATTTTTGAATTCACAAAAAGATATTTAATAGTTTGTTAACTCTAAATCGCTAATAGCTTAACAGTACATACAGATATTTGTACTTTCGATTAAAAACTCAATTAAATTCGATTATTCAGTTTTAAAATTATAATGCTTTACACTTCCTTACTTTTTACTTATTTTAGTCTTATTTTTGTTAACTTTATTCTGATATTTCTTGTTTTCTTTTCTGAAGGTATTTAATCCCAAATGCCGGTGACGCCACTAAAGTCATCAAACAGCAAATCATGAACGTTTTGGATGCTATGGAGAGCTCTTAATGACAGAGACATCAGAGATGCTGCACTCTGGTCATCCAGGAGACAACCACAGCTCCAACCAAAACCGCCTGAAGGGGAAGGAGGGAGTAGAGCATTCCCACACTGTTTTTCGTCATCATCCCCCCCCCCACACCTCCTCCCTGGGCAACACTGGTGTGGAGTTCTGTCATGACTCTTTGGGCACGTTACCATCATGATTGACAGGAGTTCTAAAACTTTGGGCTTGGAGTTGTCAATATGAGAAATGGTTATTTTGTTCATTTTGCTTCGTGATTATGATTTCTGTTTTGAGAACCTGACCTAATTAAGCAAGTTCGATTTATTATCTCTCCTTTATCTGTCTCGAGCCTTAATGAGCTATAGCTTTTTATATGAGTCAAACTGCTCCTCTGGATAAGAATACGGTTGTGGAACCTCAATCAAGGAACTTCATTGCTTTTTATCTGCTTCAGTGTTTGAAGTCACTAATTCTTTAGCCATTTGAAGATGTAAACATCATATATTGCTGCATACTTATGTAACTGAGAAGGGTTTTATGTATTTATCCGAGCAGTGTTTTTACAGCAAACAGATTCACCAGGAGCCTCATCACAGGCATTGAGGTGAATAACTATACTTCATTTTCATATTTGGAAAGTATGCTACCCTACAGGATGCTGCTTGTACAAGTGGTTACACCAGTGTGACACATGCATACTTCCATACAACTTTGCTTCCATACACCTCTGTGCTGATTGACTAAAACTACCTGAAATGGTTAGAATCTTTTGTCAGTTTCTGGTTCCATAAAATTGTTTTGTGATCGCAGCTTTCAAGATTAAAGGGAACTGGTTTGTGAGACAGTTAAAAGTTAAATGGGTCTTCTCTAAGCCAATGGCCAAGTTTACCAGATAATGTATTGAGAACCTGAAGTTTAGGATGCCTACCAGCTTCTATTGGAAATAGCTATTGAGTAATACAAGTATTAAGGTTGAAGCACTCAAAGCCATCAAAACTATATGTATACACAAGTCAAGTGAATGTAAGGAAAACTAAAGGTAACGTCAAGATTAAGGGAGGGTGATACATAACATTTTTTAAACTAGTCCCGTCAGTTTGTCACACTATGCAAGTTCTAAAAATTAAATTTGAAAGTCTTAAAAGAGAATAATATTTCCTTACGTCCCGGACATGAAAGGATAGTCAGAGGATCATGTTCCCAATGCTCAACTTTTTAACCATTGTTTATTGTCTGCTAAACCACATAATGCTATTGATAATATCTCCTATTTAAATAAATCAAAATGTGGTCCGGTCCACCATATCTGACTATTCTGTTAAAATAAAATGATTGTTTTTGTACAACAATACAATCAATGTATTTGTCAATATTTGTTTTATTTTGTTTATATCAAAAGTACACTGCAAAATATTTACAATAATTCCTTAATAGTTTGATAAAGAATGGTTTACTCAGTTGTCACATGAAAGCGTAATAAAAAAATCTGTACAATATTGCCACAACAGGCTAATAGCAAGTATCAAGTGAAGTGGAAATTAAAAAAGAAAATACTGAAGCCACATTACATTGCCAATGTATCAATGTAAGTCACTTTTATACTTTTAGAGGCCAGTAAACAGCATGTCTATGGATTACCACAACTGTCAGAAGCATTCAATACTTAACACACTGCAATGCATTAGTATCAAGAGTGTTTGCAACAAATAAAAGATACAAAGAGGGGTTTACAGTATTACATAAAGGCTACATGACAACATCAGTCTTACACCATGGATGAATAACACTTTCTGTGAGAATAAAGAAAAGAACCATGTGCGATTTGAAATACATACAATCAAAGCTGACATACGTCAACATTTACAAAAAAAAGACATTGTTCAACCGCAAGGAATGACCGTCACAAAGAATACAATTAACACTAAAGCTCCTGCTGAGAGGAAAAGGAAAACAGAAATATACATTTGGTCATGTAACAAAAAAGAAACCCCAAAAGTTCAGAGTGTATTTTGCAAGTAGTAACAATATGTTAGCATTTCTTAAGTGCTTTGTCTCAAGAAACAGTAAGAACGACAATTTAGCAAAGCACCATTTCCCCTCAGCTACAGCTGTTTGCGTTCAATAAAGGGGCTTGAAATGACAACCAGAGCTAAATCCACCAGAAGAAAAATGAAACCATAAAGGACTTTAAGTGCATTTTATCTGCCCATTTAAGTTTAAGTGAACGACTATGAGGCTCACAGTTTTTTTTAATCATCACTTGCAGAGGAAAACTGTGAAACGATCTGGACCAACACCAAGTGTGCTAATATAAACCAGCGCATGAGTGTGTGTGTGCAGTAAATGTGCACTGTTGACATTGTATGTATGTGTATTATTGTGAACTGTGTGATGCACTATGTTCATTCTCCTTCCTCCTTGATACGCTGTTGCTTGTTGCGGCGAGAATCTGGAGCCAGGTCAAAAGAGAAATCGGTCCAGTCGTCTCGTGGAGGAAATGAAATGGTCTGACGAAGAGTGAAACGCACAGCATCGATCACACGTTCGCCTCTGGCTTCGGTAGAGCCCATGCTGACGGTGGATGTCCCGCTAGAGGTGCGCAAGATGTGGGGAGGTGGAGAAAACTCCATGGTCTGTCGATACTCCATGATTCCTTTCCAGATGATGTGCTGGAATTCTGTGGGAATCTTCAGCCTGGACAAGTCCTGTGGATAGATATACCACAGAGCTCATGAATACAGTAGCCACTGCTCTGATCTCTCCGTCAACCCAGACACACTAGAGCGCATATTTTGATATGGATCCCTTGCAGTGAATGGGTGCCGTCAGAATGAGAGTTCAAAATGTTGATTCAAAACATCACAGTAAGCCAAAAATTATCCACACAACTCGTTGACGAAATAAGGTTTTGTGAAAAGCTGCTTGTTTGTAAAAAACAACAACAAATCCATCAAGATGTTTGAACTTTAACAAAATGAGTCCATAATCCTCAATGAAAACATCTTTCCCCTGTTGTCCTCTCAAAATACAGCAAAATATTTGTTTGGAACCATATTCATCTGTTTTAGTGCATGATCTTTGCATATTTCGCTCCTGTTTCAGGAGAGACTTTTTTCTCTCTGTAGTTTCTCTCTCTCTGTATGTACTGCAATAATACGGATAGAGGTTTAAAGTTAAAACGTCTTGATGGATTTATTACAAACATGCAGCTTTTCAGATCACAAAACGTTAACTGAGTAGTGTTGTGGACTATTGTGATGTTTTTAATCAGCTGTATTGAACCCATTCTGACGGCACCCATTCACTGCAGAGGATCCATTTGGTGAGCAAGTTGCTAAATTTCTCAAAATCAGTTGCGATAAAGAAGAAAACCTCATATACATCTTGGATGGCATGAGGGTGAGTCAATTTTCAGCTAATTCTCATTTTTGCATGAATTATACCTTCTAACATGCACCTGCTAAATATATATATATATTTTTTCAAATGAAAACTGATATGAAAAACATTAAGGAGAAAGGCAAATTCCTCACCTCTAAATTGTAGTTCTCAATCTGGTAAATATTGGTCAGTCCTTGGGCTGTGAAATAATCCAAACAGGCTGAGCAGCCCAGCCTCAACAGGAAGCTGAAATTGACAGATTTCAGAAGTTTTAAAACATGATTACAGTAATGCTATAACACTTTCACCTGTGAGCCATTTCAGAGAGACTTACTGTAAGTGTATTTGTGTACCTGGAAATGCTGTTGTCCAAATTTTTGCATGAATTATACCTTCTAACATGCACCTGCTAAATAAATATATATATTTTTTTCAAATGAAAACTGATATGAAAAACATTAAGGAGAAAGGCAAATTCCTCACCTCTAAATTGTAGTTCTCAATCTGGTAAATATTGGTCAGTCCTTGGGCTGTGAAATAATCCAAACAGGCTGAGCAGCCCAGCCTCAACAGGAAGCTGAAATTGACAGATTTCAGAAGTTTTAAAACATGATTACAGTAATGCTATAACACTTTCACCTGTGAGCCATTTCAGAGAGACTTACTGTAAGTGTATTTGTGTACCTGGAAATGCTGTTGTCCATGGGGTAGGGTGGCGGAGGTGTGCAGTGAGAGGGCACCATTTGTAATTGAGGCTGCAGGGGGTTGGTGGGGCTCAGGGCACTCATGTCCGTGTTCATGGGAACAGGGCCGCACATCATGGGAGGGGTCACTGAAGGGAGGGGAAAGGGTTGAGACTGTAATAAACCTCAAAAGAAGGGAAATAAAATGGTAACACTTTACAATAAGGTTCAATGTGTTAACATCAGTTAATACATTAGGTATTAGGAACTAATCATAAAATATAAACTTTTACAGCATAATACTTGTAATTATAGTAATTTGTACAAACTATAATGAAAAAAGCATGAGAAAAACAATGAAGAATACACTGCCAGTCAAAAGTTTGGGCGTTTGTTTATTTATTTATTTTTAATGTCTCTAATGCTCAGCAATACTGCTTTTATTTAATCAAAAATACAGTAAAAGCTGCTTTCTGTTATAATAATTATTATAAAATGTAATTATTTATGTGGTAGCAAAGCTTACTTTTTGCAGCCATTACTCCAGTTTTCAGGGTTACATTATTCTTCAGAAATCATTCTAATATGTTGATTTGGTGCTTAAGATAGATGTCTATCAATGATGAAAACAGTTGCTGCTTAATATTTTTGTGGAAACCGTTACGCATTATCATTCAAACGTTTGGGGTGAGTACGATTTTTAAAAACTGAACTGTCTATTTATCAAAAAATACTGAAAAACTACCAGTTTTTGTTTTTAAATATTGTAATATTTCACAATATTACTTTATTTTCTTATTAAATAAATGCTGGATTGGTCAGCATAAGAAACAAATTTCAAAAACATAAAAATAAAATGCTAATGATTCCAAACTTCTGACCGATATGGAAAAAAATTATTATTCATTGTTGATTCATGATAGCAAATGCATTAACTAATGTTTATCCCTATTGTAATGTGTTACCAATAATATAAAATCATGCAATATTTTCTGTCCTCATCCTGCCCACATTTATTATAGCCTATATATATATATCATGCACACACACACACACACACACACACACACACACACACAAGTCTTTGACTGAAATTGACTGAAATAACAAACACCTGAGGGCACTAAATATGGATTAGGTAATCTCAGAACATGTGAAACCTGAGGCACAGCAGGCCAAAGGAGAATGCATATTTGTCATGTGTAAGTACATTTTGACAGTGCCAAAGTATGCCGAAGGGAAGGCAGACAGTCCCGCAAAGATTTAGTTCAATTTTAAAAGGGAACTCTGTCAGATTGACATTGAGAACTGAGTGTTTCTCAAGCCCAGACAGGATATTCTTCACTAGGGAGAAAGGGTTCACTTTCTTCCTGTACAATTTAGATCCGAAATCACTTTAACTCGAATATAAGATCTTTTGTTAGCCCTAACTGACACTGCCACATTTGTAGACAAACTATGAATATACGTATATTAATTAAATTATTAATGATTTTATAGAGGCCTTACTGTCAGTTAGTCCTCCCGACATGCTGGATGGGGTGAGTGTGTTGCGTTGTTGGGGGTTCATGAGCTGACTGACTGATGGCAGTTTGTTCTTGCAGAGGGTGGGTGAGCTGGAACCAAAGGCAGACTGGGGTGGCAGAGAGCTCCTGAGGGAGAGAAGATGATACAGGTACTGTATTACTGAAGCCAAGTCTCTTGCATAAGCGTACACATGGACATTACAGAAAATGTGCAAACTTGTCATGATTAAATGCTTTCTATTAATGTTTTGGACACTGTGGAAGGGCTAAACTGTGGAGAAACACAGAACATGTCTGTGTTGTTCTGTAATTCTAAACAAAGAGGTATAAACATGCATATGGGTTAAAAGTCACATTGAGAGGAAACTAAATCCATATACATGTGTGGTACTTTGTGTAAATAACAAATAAAAATGATTTTTTTTTAAATCAACTACATGTGTAATATAATATTAAAAGGATAGTTCACACATACAAAGAAAACACCATAATTTAATTATGTTACAAACATTTATAGTTTCATTTTTTTAATCAAAATGGTTTGGTTACCTATATTCTTCAAAATATATTTTATGTTCCATATAGGAAAAAAAAATTATAATACAGGTTTGGAATGACATGAGAGTAAGAATTGCCCTTTAAATGATTCTGAATGTTACTTTCTTTGTTGATATTATTGATAGTTTTAAATGCCCTGACTAAAAGCCCCTGACAATTCAAGTAAAAAGAAGAGTCGAAAAATAAAGGAGAAGAAAAGAGAACAAAGAGGAAGAGTAGGGATAGGAACACAAAAGCAGAGAAGTCATTTATTGAATAGTAGTAACTGACAAAAGTGCAAGAGCCATTGAGAATACAACAACCATTCATTTCATATGAAACAACAAAAGAATCTGTCAACACTATAACATTCATTTCCTTTTCTCTTAACTGCCATGTACACAGCAGAAAATACATCTTTAAGAAAATGAACAAATAATCAAGACAAAACACACAAATTACTGCCCAGCAGTGCACTTTACAAAACATGACCAGCATTATCAAAATTCAGTCATCGATAAAGTCTACCCCCCCCATATTTATAGACAACTCGAGTCCAGCTCCAATAATAAAATGAAGACAGAGGCAAAAACAAAAAGCTATTTAAGATGAACCATCATCAAGATCTTACAGAAAAACTATGAGTCCCATAAAAATAAAAGATGTGTGCTTGGTTCCTGGTCAGTTTCGACATCCAGGATTGTTTAGATAGAGAGAGAGAAGAAAAACAGATGGAAAGAAGAGAGAAAGAGAGAAATAAGGTGGTCAGCTGAGAAGTTGCTATACTGTTTATGTGCAATGCGTTTCTGTGCAATACCAGCAGATC